CAAATTGCCCAGGCTGGTCTCGAACCCGTGGGCTCAGGCAATCCTCTCACCTCGGCCTCCCAAAGTGCTGGGATTACAGGCATGAGCCACTGCACCCTACAAGAAAAAAGCTTTTATTAGCAAAAGTAAAGAGATGAGAGAACACTGGTGTACAACGTTGGAGGCTAAGATGGTAAATTACTTAGATTTGAGACAGTTTACTAGATCAATCCTAGCTTTGACGTCTTTTAGAGGGATATTTGTAAAGCAAAGGTTTTGTTTTTGCTTTGCCACTTGCTTTTATTTTTGCCTTTTGTTATACAGCTATGACTGTTTACTTGACAGGGTAGATTTCATGTTTGAGGTTTAACTTCCGTAGCTCGGGCCAGACGAAGCAGAGCGGGTTGGCCACCTCACCACAGCTGTACAAAGCTTCCTTTAGCACAAGATCTTATCAGAGCTTCTAATGAAACATTTAGTAGAATATGTGTTATGTTAGCAACAGATCCCTCATGGTTAGGGTCTCTGAATGTATATCTGGAGGAACAAGGGCTCTTTATTCTGCACTGATAAAAATGGACTGCAAGAGCTGTCTTTTATGTTTGCTGTTAATGGGGCTATTAAGTATACTGTGTATTGTGAATTCATGTAATACTACTGGGTATGTTATAAAATCATGGTATTTATATCTTTTCTGGATGCACAGGGTTTCCTTTAACTTACTGTGGACCTCTCTAAAATTCATTCATGTCTGCTTCTTATCTCTCTTTATTTCTTTTCTCTCTGTCGCCTTTTCCTTTTAAATTTTTTTCTTCTTTCTTCCTCTTGCACTTTTTCTTCACCTGTTTTTCTTATCTTCTTCTTTCTAAGTTCTATTTATGAAATGGTGTGCAAAAAAAGTAAATTTGAGTTGCCATACATCTTTCCACTTTAAAAAAAATGGATGCTTTTTAGAGATTCGAATTCAAGAACTCAACATTTGAGTCTTCTAAGTATTGGAGAAATTGAAAAATAGTATTATTCTCAATGCCTCAACTTTATGGTTCTGTTGTTATAAATGCATTTAACCATTGGTCCCACAGTATGACTTTATTTGAAGGTTATAAAGTTGAGTCACATAAGACTTCATCGAGCTTCTTTTTAACAGTGAGTTTATTTTGAATTTGCTTTTATGTAGGTTTGCCTCAGTGAAATGAGGGCACATATAAGGACTTGCCAGAAGTACATAGATAAATATGGACCGCTACAGGAACTTGGAGAGACAGCCACCAGGTTTGTTTCCAGACTATACAGTTGAATGCGAAATGTTATATGTCTTAAATAATTTAAAGGGCTAAGATGTTTAACATTTTTCTTACAAAAATATCAATGTGGTTATGTTTAGGTTCTTAAGCATAATAGCTGGTGTTGGCTATCATTTGTCCATAGTAATCATTGTCAAATAATTTTGCTTTCTCTACTTTAAAAACTGCATGGGGGAGAATCAACCAGGCACTGGAGAGATTGGGGCAACTTCCTCAGACAAACTTGTATTGAGAAAGATTCGAAAATAGAATGCGGAACTGTGGCATTTCTGCACAGCTCTGTTTTCTGACTAATAGATTCCTGAAGCAGACAGGGTCAGGATTATTTATCTTTCCTCTTCGTCATCACTGCACATTTGCCCGATCGTTCCCCATCGTTTTGCTTGTTTCTCTTTAGAGGGTAGGAAGCAACATCTCCTGGGCAGGCATCCTGAATCCTGTCCCTTTTGGCAGGTGATCTTATGTAGGCCTGGGGGAAGGATGGAGGCCGCTGGTAGGTATAATGGAGGATATTGATCATCAGCTAGTTTCTTTCTTTGAAAGAAGAAAAGGAAACAAATCTGGACCCTGATGGGAAGAGTAGTTTAGCTGTATCAGAGTAATCATAAAGTTTGTCATCTGTCCCTACTAACCAAATAAATGAAAGGATTTGTGTTACCTTGCATAGGCTGATGGCTTTGAAACCATTAACCTGTTTATGAATTCATTTGCTCCATACTGGTATTCAGTTTGAGTATAATTTCTTTCTCTCTCCTGAAGAAAAATGTTAGTTTTTCCCATAAAACATATATATAGCCGAGCATGGTGGCTCAACCTGTAATCCCAGCACTTTGAGATGCTGAGGCAAGAGGATTACCTGAACCAGGGGTTTGAGACCAGCCTGGGCAACTTGGTGAGACCTCGTCTCTATAATAAATAAAAAATTAGCTGGGCATGGTGGTGCACGCCTGTAGTTCCAGCTACTTGGAAGACTGAGGGGATGATCGCCTGAGCCCAGCAGGTTGAGACTGTGGTGGCTGTGAGCGTGCCACTGCACTCCAGCCTGGGCGACAGAGTGAAACTCCAACTCAGAAAACACCCCCCAAAACCATATATATATATATATATATATTTAAAATACAGCTTAAGCTATAAGCTATAAGCTAAAAGGTGGCTCACACCTGTAATCCCGACACTTTAGGAGGCTGAAGCAGGAGGATTGCTTGAACCCAACAGTTTGAGACCAACCTGGGTAACAATAGTGAGACCCTATCTCTACCTCCCCATACAAAAAATAAAAGCTGGGTGTGGTGGCACATGCCTGCAGTCCTAGCTACTTGGGAGACTGAGGTGGAGGGATCTCTTGAGCCCAGGGGTTTGAAGCTGTAGTGAGCTATGATTGCACCACTGCACTCCAGCCTGGGCAACAGAGTGTGACCCCACCTCAAAACAAACAGACAAACATTCATATCTATATCTATATATATATATATATATACACACATATATATGTGTGTATATATATATATGAATATAACTTAAGTTTCTTAACCTAAAAGTCTAAATGATCATCTCATTTCTTTTGTTTTACTAGAGATTGCCTCGAGAAAGTACCAGTTATTATAGAATTAGCTTTATGCCATGATATAATCCATTTTAAACGAGCATTTAGCTATAAGCTGAGTATGGATCCTGTTAGATTTACCACACAGACCCACAGGAAGGAAGGATAACAAATGGGTTGAGAAAGTGTGTGGGTTTGATTGCAAAGTTGATGGGCTTTATGAAAATTTTAAAATGTGTGAAAGCTAATTTAAAACCTAATTTCTTCTGCTGGTTAGAATTAAAAAGTAAAGAATTCAAATAATAGAAAATGGGGAGCATCGTGGATTAATCAATCTTATAAGATAGATCAATATTTTCATTTTTGGGAGCTGGGTTTAGTGACTCATGCTTTTAATCCCAGCACTTTGGGAGGCAGGGGTTCAAGACCAACCTGGGCTACTTGGTGAGACCTCGTCTCTTCAATAAATCAAAATCCTAGCCGGGCGTGGTAACGCATATCTGTGGTTCCCGCTACTTGGAAGGGTGAGGTGGAAGGTCTGCCTGAGTCCAGCAGATAGAGGCTGCGGTAGCCGTGAGCATGCCACTGCACTCCAGCCTGGGAGACAGAGTGAGACTCTGACTCAAAAAAAAATTGCATTTATGATAAAAACCTTTGTTTTATAGAATTTCCTACATGATCCAAATTTTCAAAATTCTTATACCAGAAGTATGTCCAGAGTACATGTCTTGGGGAACAGGAAGTTACATCTAAAATGGAAAGTGAGAAAAAAAAAATACCAAGCCTCCATATCATCCCTAAGAACTTAAGGCAGTACTGTACAATAGAAATATAATGTGGATCACATGTAGTTTAAAACTTCTAGCAGCCATATTTTAAGAAAAGTAAAAAGAAACAGGTGAAATGACTTTTAATATATTTTATTTAACCTAATTGTAGCCAAAATATTATTATTTAAATATGTAATCAAAATCAGAATTATTGAGATTTTTATATTCTTTGACATTAAACCTGCAAAGTTCAATGTGTATCTTATTATCCACATACCTAAATTTGGATTAGCTGCATCTCAAGTGCCCAATAGACACATATTGGACAGCACAGATTGAAAGGGACAGATATTCCAAAGTGTATGTGAGGATTTAACAAGGTAGTCGCAAGTCCGTTTTAGCTCTTCATTGAAAACTAATCATGCGAGCTGACGCTTCTGGTTGTGTGCCAGTGGAGTTGGAGAACAACTAACACCCAATTCAGGTGCTATCCAAATTAGGAAAGGGAGGCCAAACACTGTGGCTCACATCTGTAACCGCAGCACTTTGGGAGGCTGATATGGGAACATAGGAGTTCAAGACCAGTCTGGGCAACGTAGTGAGACACTGACTCTAAAAAAATCCAAAAATTAGCTGGGTGTGGTGGTGTGTGCCTGTAGTCCCAGTTACTTGGGAGGCTGAGGAGGAAGGATCTCCAGAGCCTGGGAGGTTGAGGCCCTGGTGAGCCATGGTTGTGCCACTACACTACTGCCTGGGCAACAGAGTAAGACTCTGACTCAAAAAAAAAAAAAAAAAAGGAAAGGGAGAAGGGAAAAGGTAACCTGGGGATAGGTGGATGCTGTGGTCCTCACTTTCTCAGTTAATGGATGCTCAGATTGCACTTCGAAAGAGAATAAAATACTTTTGGTGTCTTGTGGCTGTTTCTCTGCCCTGTCCCTGTGAGGATGCACCGCCACACTTCTCATGAGAAAAAGTTTAGGTACCCACATCATCAAGATAGAAAAACTAATATCAAATCAGAGGAAGACCTAGGGCTATAAACTAGACTCACCTACATTCTATAATTTTAAATCTTTACTTAAGTGACTGCTCTCTAGTTACCGACAGTGTGGGTGATATCTGTATTTTGCACAATTTCCAGGTGTATATGTCCGTTCTGTCAGAGGGAATTGGATGAAGACTGCCTGCTGGACCACTGTATCAGTCATCACAGATCGGAAAGGAGACCTGTTGTAAGGATTTTTATTACATGTGTGTTAGTGATGTCTAAATTCAGGATACATTAGAAGTCCATTTAGTAGATTTCTGTTTATAGAGATACAGGATAATGATTTATGTGAAGGTTACGAGAATTCTTTGACTATTTACAATATGTGAAAGTGTTGAGTTGAAACTGACAAGACTAAATGCACTCTTCCATTTCCAAAATTACACACAGTCTCCTAGATAATCACAAGCATGATGACAATGATCCAATGAGCCACAGTTAAGATCTGATTTTAGTATACTCACCATGGTCATATCTTAAGTTAAAACATTCTAAAATCATGCCATTTGTGTTATTATGACAATATACTAGAAACGAAAAGTAGTCCTCATTGCCATTAATCTAGCCTGTTACTCATAGTTATTGTTAACCTATATGCTTGCATACGCAATGTCTGTATTGCTTACATATCCTAGATTCATTGTGAATGCTGCTCCTTTCCCTTTTAATCTGGCATTTCAGTTCTACTTTGCAGAGTGGCTTTTATGAATTTCATTTTTGCACCAGGTGTGTTGGCTTATGCCTGTAATCCCAGCACTTTGGGAGATGGTGGCAAGAGGATTGCCTGAGTCCAGGGGCTTGAGCACCAGCCTGGGCAACATGGTGAGACCTCATCTCTACAATAAATAAATAAAAATTAGTCAGGTGTTGGCATGTGCCTGTAGCTCCAGCTACTTTGAAGGCTGAGCCGGAAGGATTGCCTGAGCCTAGCAGGTCGAGGGAGCCGTGAGAGTGCCACTGCACTCCAACCTGGGCGACAAAGTGAGATTCCAACTCAAAAAAAATAAAATAAAATTTTCATTTTTGTATAACTGTGAGGTAAAGGAGAGTGGGTGTACTATTGTTTTATGGTAGCCATTTTATGACTATTTTTTTTGTTGGGTTTCGGGGGGGTCTTACTCTGTGGCCCAGGCTGGAGTGCAGCAGAGAGATTGTGACTCACCACAACCTCGACCTCCTAGGCTCAGGCAATCCTTCTGCCTCAGCCTCCGGAGTAACTGGGACTACAGATGTGTGCCACCACGCCTGGCTAATTTTTAAATTTTTTTTTTTTTTGGAGACAAGGTTTCACTGTGTTGCATAGGCTGATATGACTACTTTTAAATACTTGAATCATTACCAATTTTTGGGATTTGAATTCATATTCTTATACATTTAAACTTTACCTTTTATTGGATTTTTTCCCCTAAGCATTAGATTAGCCAGGCATGGTGTCTCAAGTCTGTAATTCCAGCACTTTGGGAGGCTGAGGTGAGAGGACTGCCTGAGCTCAGGGGTTCGAGACCAGCCTGGGCAGCAAATTGGTGAGACCTCATCTCTACAATCTTTCCAAAAATAAGCTGGGCGTGGTAGCACACACCTGTAGTTCCAGCTCCTTGGAAGGCTGAAGCAGAAGGCTCGCCTGAGCCCAGCAGGTCAAGGCTACACTAGCCATGAGCAGCAGCGCGCCACTGCACTCCAGCCTGGGTGACAGAGTGAGATGCCAACTCAAAAAAAAATTTAGATTAATATTTCTGGGGTCAACAGTGAAAACTTTTTAATAGTTTTTGAAATGTACTTCTAAAATGTTTTCCAAAAAATTCGAATCAATTTGTATTTGTGTCAGCAATTTATGAATAAACCACTTTCACCTTACCCTGGCCATAATTGGGTACATTTATTTTTAAGTTACCCTGGCTTAAATATAAAATGATACCTTGAAGATTATTTTGAATTTTATTTTAGTTCTATGAAATATGTAGTGTTATGTAATACACACAAACGTGTGTGTTGTTTTATATATATGAGTTTTTAGCTTTTTTTGAGTTTTAGGGTTTTTTTCATAAAGTCCTTTAGGAAAGTGGATGAGATTGAAATATAAGTGTATTAGATAGGTAGGTAGATAAATAAGAATGAAGAGATAGAAAGATAGATACAGAGATGGTCCTTACAACAATCCTAGGAGATAGGATTAAAATGATAGGATTAAACTCCTAGGAGATAGGATTTTACAAATGATAAACTGAGGCTCAGAGAGGTTAAGGTCAGTCATAAACGGTCACACAGCTGGTAGGTAGCAAAGGCAGAACTCCAGGACTGTGGGGTGAACCTCTGAGATCTATAGCAAGTTCACGAGAAAAGCTACACTGCACACAAAGATACTGGTTACTGATCCTAATGGCCTAGGAGTTTGAGACTGAAAGGACTGAGCTTAATACATTTAGGGTAGTGGGGGAGATTGTCAGGGGTTTTTCCTGCTCAGGTTGCTTTGCAGGAGGAACTGGACTAGGGAGTTGTTTCATGGCAAGTCCCTGAGAGCTAGCTAGAGGAAGCTAGAAGAAAGTGTCAGGATGGATGATAATGACTTTCAGTTACTGAGTTCTAAGTGCTTTCTCATCTCCTTTTAGCAACCCTATGAAGAAAGTGTTATCAAAGCAGCCCGAGCCCTGACCATTAGCAGCAGGGTGCTGCTCTGGTTGGAGAAATGCCAGGCACTGTGGAGCAGGCCACATACGGGTCCGCTACGTGGCTCTGTGCACCTGCTTCAGCAGAAATCCAGTTCATGTGCTGCTCAGTTTGACCATCAGACTGAAGCTAGGTTCTCCCCGATTGAGAGGCCATCGAGGTCATTGGAGAAAAGTGACCTAAGGGGGGGAAATAAACCAGGGATGGTGGGATCAGGTTGTCCTTGGTCTTCAGTAGCTAAATCCTCGGCTTTGCAGGGCAGAGGCTTTGCTTTGAATCCCAGCAAGTCTGTTAACTTCTCTCTGCCTCTGTTTCATCATTTGTAAAATGGGGATGATGATGACAATGATGCCTTTTTCACAAGGTGGTGGTAAATGAGTCAGGCATCTAAAGTAACCTTCAGGCTGGGCGTGGTGGCTCACGCCTGTAATCCCAGCACCTTGGACTTGAGCCCAGAAGTTTGAGAACAGCCTAGGCAACATAGCGAGACCTCGTCTCTACAAAAAAAATTTAAAAATTAGCCAAGTGTGGTGGCACATGCCTGTAGTCCCAGCTGCTCGGGAGGATGAGACAGAAGGATCCTCTGAGCCCAGGAGCTTGAGGCTGCAGTGAGCCATGGTCATATCACTGCACTCTATCCTAGGCAACAAAGTGAGATCCCCCAACTAAAGAATAAATAAATTAATAAATAGTCACTCTTTGTCACTCCATAAATAGAAGAGGGTGGTGGTGAAAGGGTGGGTCGCTGTTTTTTTCTCAATGATATAAAATCAGGCATAGAGAGGATTTCTCAGAGGAAGTGACAAAGTCTCCCAGTTGGAGAACCCACACAGGGGGTTCTGGGGGCAGGGGTGGGAAGGGACATTGGGAGAGTGAAGTGAAATTTCACCGCAAAAGACTGGGTATTATTTTATTTTTATTTTTATTTTTTTTGAGTTGGAGTCTCACTCTGTCGCCCAGACTGGAATGCAGTGGTCACTTCCGGTCACTGCAGCCTCGCCTGCTGGGCTTCGGTGATCCTTCCGCCTCAGCCTTCCAAGTAGCCGGAATTACAGGCATGCGCTACGACGCCCAGCTGATTTTTTGATTTATTGTAGAGATGAGGTCTCGCTGCCCAGGCGGGTCTCGAACCCGCGGGTCAGGCAATCCACTCACCTCAGCCTCCCAAAGGGAGGGATTACAGGCTGAGCTACCTGGCCCGGCTTGACTGGGTGTTATTGTGGCCTTGAGGCAGGAGCAGATAATACCCTGGGGCTGTCTAGAGGTGGTTCCTAGAACAGAAGGCTTTCAGGTGTCCTGTGTTTGTTCATGTTTCATTCTTCCCTGTGGTTATGGAAAAAAAGACTGGGGATAGCTACATGGCATAGCTGGGGTTCACATGCTTAGGGATCCCCAGTGAGGACATGAGGGTGAAAGCACCCTGGTAAAAGTCCTGGACAAGGAAGGCCGAGCCCAGTGCTGATCCTGGCTTGGTGTGAAAGTTAGGAAACAGTTATTGCAGAACCAATTCTGGTTTTGCCTGCAGATAAGATCAGTGACAGTCACCTGACACACTTGACGTAAGAGGTCCCGTGGCTGTTAGAGATCTGGGCTAAATGAGATAATTCAGAGATCAAACCACAAGACAACTGATCTTTTTTTTTTTTTCTGAGGTGCTCCAGACTGATGTTCAGGGGCTTTTGACCTTTTTCATATGTAGCCTTAAGTGTCAACAGGTCCTTTTTTGTTATGCAGTAATGATATTCTGCCATGCTGTATTTTTTGAATCATTACATCTATGGAATATTAAGCTCAAAGGAGGCAGATGACACGAGCAGCATGCTTTAGATTGAATTGTGAGATCACTTTTGAGAGAAACCTGGTATGTAATCTTGTAAAGGGAAGATGTTTTCCGCCATGCTTTCCGCCCAGCGTGGTGGCTCACAACTGTAATCCCAGCATTTTGGGAGGCAGAGGTGAGAGGATTGCTTGACCACGGGTTCAAGACCAGCCTGTGCAACTTGGCGAGATCTCCTCTGTACAATAAGTCAAAAAATTAGCTGTGCATGGTGGTGCACGCATGTGGTTCCAGCTACTTGAAAGGCTGAGGTGGAAGGATCACCTGAGCCCTGCAGTTCAAGGCTGCAGTGGCTGTGAGCATGCCACTGCACTCCAACCTGGGTGACAGAATGAGACTCCGTCTCAAAAAAAAAAAAAATAAAATAAAATAGAACCATGCTTTCCGGCTATCCTCTCAACAGAATGCCCTGTCTTTCACTGGTTGGCTTTTGCCCATCCTTCGGAGCTCAGCTTAAATCTTTTTTTTTTTTAAGAATAACAAGCTTCCTTTATTGAAGAAAATACAAATTTTACTTTTTAATATTTTTCAGTAATGTTTTACAGTAAAAATTTATTAAAATTTCCTTATGAATAAATACACTAATATTGAATCATCTGAGTCAAAATTTAGCATGATCATAATTTGTATGTTAAAGTATATAATTTATACATTCATAAATCATAATTTCAGCTTTAACATAT